ATGAAGCAATGTTTTCGAAACTGCAGGTCATGGCCGGCACCAAAAACAATAAAGAAAAAAAAAAAAAAAAAAAAAAAAAAATATTGTGATAAACAGTCTACTTTCCCTGGGTCTCAGATGACCCGCCATAGCTGTGCATCCATGGACTTCTTTTCCTAAAATTTTTTTATTTCCCTCATGTGCACATTTGATTCCTCCTCATACCCGTCTTCCTGAGCAACATTCCAAGAAATATGGGGCAGAGTGACTTTGTACAAAAAAAACCCCAAACGCTCCCTTCCCTGAAAAACTAAACTAAAACCAAAACATTTCCTTTTCTGAGAACAAGTGTTAATTGCTAACCTTGGTGCACTCACTGCATGCCACATACTGGTTCCATGTGCTGTACGTGTATTAGCTCATTTAATTCTCCAACCTCCCTGCAGGGAGATATTGTCATTGTTCCCTTAGGAACAATGAGGCACGAAGAGGAAGCAAGGTTTCCCTGTCACTGAGCCATGGGCTCACTACCTGACATGCATAATCAACCAATACTGTGGCACTGGCTTTTGAGAAAAGAAAGGGCTTTTGAGTCTACTGGGAAGGAGACAGGAGGCAATGCTCAAATTTGTCTCCCTGATCTGGGGGGTGGATCAAACTTTTAAGGCATTTCTAACTAGTCCCAGGTGATGTCTACCCAACTGGTCCGCTAGGCTGGGGGTGGTTAGCAATTAGGTTAAAGCCCTTTCTATTGCGCATGCCCAGCCAATTTTGGCTCTGTGTCTCCTGTAACAGCTTAAGCAATAGTTGCTCAGTTTGAGTTGATCTGTGGTTAAACCCACAGTACTGGATCTGATCCCTAGCAGTCTGACTCCAGGGCCCAGTAATGATCACACCACCCTGATATGTCTCACTTCACCAAAAGCAGTGGTTCTCAAATGTGAGTGTGCAGCCCCATCAACTGGAGGACTTTTTTTTTTTTTTTTTAAGGCTGGTCATAGTGAGCAGTGAGTGAGAAGGAACAAAATCAATTGGAGGACTTGTAAGAGGACACAGGAGGCTGAGAGGCGATGCCTCAAGGTCAGGGTTTGAAACCAGCCTGAGCGAGACCCCGTCTCTACTAAAAATAGAAAAGAAAATTAAGTTGACCAATCATATAATACAAAAAATTAGCGGGATGGTGGTCGCATGGCCTGTAGTCCACAGTACTCGCGGAGGCTGAGCAGGAGGATTGCTGAGCCCAGGAGTTTGAGGCTTGCTGTGAGCGTAGGCTGGACGCCACGGTCACCTCACTACATAGACTGGGCAACAAAGTGAGGAGCTCTGTCATACAAAAAAAACCACAACACAAAACAAAACACAGAGTGGGCCAGGCCGCGCCGCAAGGTTTCCTCCATGCAGCACGGTCTTGGTGTGCGCGCCTGGGAGTCTGCATTCCACCAAGCTCCCAAAGGGATGCTGATTGCTGTTGGTCCAGGAGATTACATTTGGCCCACAGACCAAACCCCGCTTCCCACAGAACAGGTCCTCCTGGAGCCCTCACCCGATGGAGCCACTGTTAGAAGTGAAAGGTTTGACAGCTTCTTAATTGCAGTTTCTCCCCTTAAAAATAAAAATAAATAAATAGATACTCAAGGAAAGAAAGTTAAATTCTGCTACGCCAAGGCTTCCCGCTACACAGAAACTAGGTTAAGTCCAAATTGTTAAAGTATTCCTTTCGGAAGCAAAAGGACTATGGTAAAAACAGAACCCTTTCCAAAGCTTTTGTTTGTGATTTGGGAACATGTCAAATGAAGCAATGTTTTCGAAACTGCAGGTCATGGCCGGCACCAAAAACAATAAAGAAAAAAAAAAAAAAGAAAAGAGAAAGAAAAAAGAAAAGTAGTAAAATAGAAAATATTGCATGTGATAAGGATATACATATATATTTCAGAAAAACTTGTATCTCAATTATATACATATATATATAGTCATATATACATATATAGGGTCATAATGGAAAATGGAAATGAATTGTTTTAAAAATGTTTGAGTATGATGGTCTGCTCATTTGCCTTTTAGTGGTTTACTACAGCATTTGGAGAAAAACAAAATATTTGAAGACTGATTGAAAACTTAAATCTGAGATCCATGCCATGAAACTTGAGTACAAAAAATTGGGCACCAAGTCCCAGGCCCAAGGGACCCCCTAGGAGGAGAAATAGATGAAGAAATGTCAGGACCAACACATACTGTCTGGTCTGGAGGAAGGTGACCTGCAGCAAGAAATAACTACTCTGCTCAAACCCCCCATCCTCAATTTCCTGGGAACTTTCTACCCACTCCTTGTGTATTCTGCCTTTTAAAAAAATTAAATTAAATTCTTTTTCTTTCTTTTTTTTTTTTAGAGACAGGGTCTCCATCTGTCACCTAGGCTGGAGTGAAGTGGTGCAATAATAGCTCACTGCAACCTTGAACTCCTGGGCTCAAGCAATCCTCTTGCCTCAGCCTCCCAAAGTGCTGGGACTATAGGCATGCGCCACCATGCCCAGTGTAATTTCAGTTCTAACACAAGAAGAAAAATATCATTGTATTAATACATATGTCCTTAGAATTTAGGTAATTTTATTTCTGGCAGATAGACACCTAAGATTGCTGCAACAAAAGGTACACATTTAAAAATCTAAAGATACCACCAAATTACTTTCCTAAAAATTTGGAGCCATTTGTACTTCCATCAGTAAATGCATGAAAATACACGTTCCTTCACATCCTTGCCAATATCAGAATTAATCATTTACCTCTTCTTCAATATGATGGCTAGAAAATGATTTCCCATCATTTTGTATTTCTCTGACAGAAGCTTAATATCCTATTTTTCATCTATTTGAAAATTAATGTATCCATTTTTGTAGTGCTTAGGGGTGATCATTGGACCTTTTAATTGGTTTCTCTTAACTTGTTGGATTCTACCTCCCTTGCATGTTGCACACATTTTCTCACAGCCACAATTTCTTTAGACTTTCTTTTTTTTTTTGAGACAGAATCTTGCTTTGTTGCCCAGGCTAGAGTGAGTGCCGTGGCGTCAGCCTAGCTCACAGCAACCTCAAACTCCTGGCCTCAAGCAATCCTCCTGCCTCAGCCTCCCGAGTAGCTGGGACTACAGGCATGTGCCACCATGCCTGGCTAATTTTTTCTATATATATTAGTTGGCCAATTAATTTCTTTCTATTTATAGTAGAGACAGGGTCTCGCTCTTGTCAGGCTGGTTTCGAACTCCTGACCTCAAGTAATCCGCCCGCCTCAGCCTCCCAGAGTGCTAGGATTACAGGCGTGAGCCACCGCGCCGGCCTCTTTAGACTTTCTTGAAGGATGGGTGATTTGCTAAATGACATGTGCATGCTTGGCTATATGTCTAACAAAGTTAGACTCCTACATCATAACAGAGAAAAATTAATTTTACATGAATTATAGAACTAAGTGTAAAAATAAAACTGTGAAAGCGTTAGTAGAAAATACCAGGAAATATTTAACCTAAGGGTAAAAGAGACTTTCTTAAGGAAAAGAGAAACCTAGAAACTATAAAGGGAAATGCTAACAGATTTAACTACATAAAAAGGTGAAAATTTCCCTTCCCTTCTTGAAGGGTCTTTTGTCATTCAAAATTTTCACCTTTTTATGTAGTTAAATCTGTTAGCATTTCCCTTTATAGTTTCTTTTTTAGACTTTCCCTTTATAGTTTCTTCTTTAGACTTTCTTGAAGGGTCTTTTGTCATTCAAAATTTTCACCTTTTTATGTAGTTAAATCTGTTAGCATTTCCCTTTATAGTTTCTTTTTTAGACTTTCCCTTTATAGTTTCTTCTTTAGACTTTCTTGAAGGGTCTTTTGTCATTCAAAATTTTCACCTTTTTATGTAGTTAAATCTGTTAGCATTTCCCTTTATAGTTTCTAGGTTTCTCTTTTCCTTAAGAAAGTCTCTTTTACCCTTAGGTTAAATATTTCCTGGTATTTTCTACTAACGCTTTCACAGTTTTATTTTTACACTTAGTTCTATAATTCATGTAAAATTAATTTTTCTCTGTTATGATGTAGGAGTCTTTGTTAGACATATAGCCAAGCATGCACATGTCATTTAGCAAATCACCCATCCTTTTCTCATCATATTGAAATATCTGTCATCTATAGTTTTTATTTCTGCTGTAACAAATTACTCCACATTTAGTAGGTTAAAATGCACAAACTTACTATCTTTCAGTTCTGTATGTCAGAAGCCCAGTGGGGCTCTCGCTAGGCTCCTAGGGGCTCCAGGGGACAATGTTTTCTTACTCATTTAGTTGTTGGCAGAATTCAGTTCCTTCCAGGCCCCCATTTCCTTGCTGGCTGTCAGCTGAGGGCCCTGCCCAGCTTCTAGAGGCTGGCCACAGTCCTAGGCTCATTGGGAGTCCTATTCAGTTTATTTACAATGCTGGCAATGGCTGGTCAAGTACCCCTCACGCTTGGACTGTCACTTGCTGCATCTTCCATTTGCGTCTCCCTAAACCAGTTCTGCTTTCCTCTTTCATTTTTTTTTTGAGACAGAATCTCACTGTGTTGCCTGGGCTAGAGTGCCATAGTGTCAGCCTAGCTCACAGCAACCTCAAACTCCTGGGCTCAAACAATCCTACTGTCTCAGCCTCCCAAGTAGCTGGGATTATAAGCATGTGCCACCATGCCCGACTAATTTTTATATATATATATATTTTTAGCTATCCAGCTAATTTCTATTTTTTTAGTAGAGATGGCATCTCGCTCTTGCTCAGGCTGGTCTTGAACTCCTGAGTTCAAAGGATCCCCTGGGCCTCCCAGAGTGCTAGGATTACTGGTGTGAGACACCACACCCAGCCTTCCTCTTTCATTTTTAAGGGGTCATTGGTACCACCTAGATAATCCAGGATAATCTTATTGTAATGTAACCTTAATTCCATCTCCATCTGCAAAATTCTTCTGTCATGTAAAGAAACATATTCACAGATTCCAGAGATTAGGGCATGGGCATTTTTTGTTTGATTGGATGGAAGGGCATTATTCTGCCTACCAGAACATAATATCATATGCTTTTGGTTCTGGACTCCGATATATTGATTGAACTTCTGTGCTATTTTATATTTCTTTGAAAGTAGTAGCTTTATAGAAAGTTTTACTATTCGGTAAGATAATTTTCTCCTTTTTCAAAATTGTTTGGCAATCCTTATCCTTTCTGTTTTCTTCCAGACTCTTAGTGTCAACTACAATAATTTTGATAGCTAAGTTGCCCCATCAGGGAGTTGGGAGAGGTCTGTTACCATATTTCTAAACATTTTATAAAACATTTTTATGCAACTGCACACATAAACATAAATTTTGGGACTATTGTTGAGAATACAGATTTTTGAGTTTGGGGATAAATATTTTTTTAAGGACTAGCTGGCTTCTCCAGGGTTGATGATGAACTATTGTAAATAAACCTCTGACCCTTTTGACACCAGAACACACTAGGAAGAGTTGGCCCTGTGAGAAGTAGCTTTATGGTAAATCACTACCTGTAATTGACTGCCCTTGTGACTTTGGATTCTTTGTCATATTTGTAAGCAGTCTGCCTTCACCAGCCCCGGCCCCTTAGTACCAGAGGCTTGCTCAGCTTTCCTCATTGAGGTCATGGTGGCCCCTTTGTACTCCATTTCCCAAGAATCTGGAGGATGTCTGCCCTCTTAGAGGAGCCCCCAAAGTGAGTTTTACGAATTTTTCAAGTTATACCCTTCGTAAATGGAGGTCTACCTAGCTGTTTTTTTTTTTTTTGTTTTTTTTTTTGAGACAGAGTCTCGCTTTGTTGCCCAGGCTAGAGTGAGTGCCGTGGCGTCAGCCTAGCTCACAGCAACCTCAAACTCCTGGCTCAAGCAATCCTCCTGCCTCAGCCTCCCAAGTAGCTGGGACTACAGGCATGCGCCACCATGCCCGGCTAATTTTTTGTATATATTAGTTGGCCAATTAATTCCTTTCTATTTATAGTAGAGACGGGGTCTCACTCTTGCTCAGGCTGGTTTTGAACTCCTGACCTCGAGCAATCCGCCCGCCTCGGCCTCCCAGAGAGCTAGGATTACAGGCGTGAACCTAGCTGTTTTTGATTTCATAAGAATTTTATTTACACAGCAGTAATGTCCTTTTAACTGTACTTCAAAGCAAAATCCCAACTGCAGTGATGACAATTGTTTTTAAAAATAACATTTTGTACTGTTACGAAAACTAATTATGGGAACATGTTCAATAAAATTATTGAAGTTCCAAGCAATCACTTTATGTCTCTAAGAAAATCAGTTATCACTCAAGCATTACACAATTATTTCAATACACTCATTTCTTCAAGAAATGCTTTGATATTACTCCTTTGTCATGCCAGTTTATGTCCAAAGTCTTTGCACAATCTGCAGTTTTAACTTCAAATACACACACTATTAAGATATTCTTAGTTTTGATCTATTCTATCTTCATGTGACAGGAATAAGCCTGTGGCCCTTTTCTCTTGGTCAAGCTCAGCTGCCTCTCTTATGCTTTTCTGCCACAGGACTGGAGTGCCACTCATGAAGCTTCTGGCATTTCTAGTGGCTCACCAGGCAGAACCCACTCTTCTCCACTGTAAAAATGACTTTGCTTTCTTCAACCTCACAACCATTTCCCTCCATTCTCCACCAGGGGAAAACTGAAAACCTGCAGACTCAATTAGGAAATTAGTGAAACTGATGACTTTTCCAGGGGTATCTGGAAGGGGCCTTCCTGGGTAATTCAATTATGTGTACACAGAGTATTATGAAATTATTCCTAGGCAGAAGTTGGAATAGCCAGGCTGATAAAGATTTAGTTCGGAATATGTTTAGCTGAGAAGAACTGTGATGCAATAAAATCATATTTAGAGTCCTTTAATTTTGAAGGTACCATTGTGGATAAATACATGTGGGGGTAAAAATCAGGATGAAAATCAATGGCTGCTAACATCTCAGCCATTAAATGCTGTTAGTGGTAAACTCTGTATCCACAACCAATTCCCTTGTTCAACAGTAGAAAGCATTTTCAAATAATATTTTGCATTTCAATAATATAAGAGCAGGCACACAAAAAAACTATAAAGGTAATTAAGGAACCTCATTACTACCATAATCATTGGGGTACTGTGGACTTGAGGGTAGTGTGCGGGTTAAAATCACGGGTGTGGCTGTTTATAGTACGAAGAAGGGTGGGAAGCTCTGGCTTAGCTGACAAAAACTATCCCAGCTTAACGATGGATTTGAAAAAGCCATTAGCCAAATACTTCATTACCCCTCTTCTTTTTGATGGCATGGGCCCTCACTGAGCTAGTACATGCTTATTGCTTCAACATTTATTCCACATCTACTAGGTCCAAAGCATGGCGGGAGACATACACATGGCTAAGTCCCTTGCCCTTAAGGAGCTCACAATCTATCATGGAAGAGATATTTAAGCAATTCTAATATAAGGTGGAACAAATCAAGGCCTTTAAGTGAATTTTAATGTGGCACAGGGTTCCAGAGGCTGGAGCAAATGATTGTATATGGGGTACAAGCGAAACTTCACAGAAAAGAGCTGCACTGATAGAAAAGGCTTAACTTTGAAACATCATTCTTACCAAATATACATACTACCAGCTTGCGTTCAAAAAGCGAAATAAATCAATCCTTAAAAGAATCCATTATAGGGTGGTACTGGGAAGATAATCATGAACAAGAATTTTAACTTTTGAGTAATAAGATTAATATAAGGTGAAACATTTTTTATAGGTTCAGAAGCATGACTCAGATGTGGTCTACATTTGACATTCCTTGAAGTTCCAGTTTTTAGAAGAGATGACGAATCAGAGTCAGAAAAACCTAAGGCAATGTTGCGTTAACTGTTTATCTTTTACTACTCAAGATGCAGCTGTTGAATATTTTTAGCTAATTATGACTTTCAACCTGAAGCATCACTTAAACTCTTTAAACTGAAATAGTGTAAACTTCATTGGTTAAAATTATTTCCTGGGACTTCAAGTTTAGATCAGTGCTCCCCAACATTTTTGGCACCAGAGACCAGTTTCATGGAAGACAAGTTTTCTGGACCGCTGGGGCGGGGTGGTGGTGGGGGCTGACCTCTGTGGCCCCGTCCCTAATAGGCCACAGATCTGGTACTGTGGTTTAGATCATCTTTATAAAACAACAAACTATACAAGTGAAAGTAAAGCAGTGAGAGGCCTTCTTAAGGATTGTATTAAAACAGCAGTATTAACAGAAAAGGGTTCATTCCCATGTTACCAAATAAGAATGCCTCTAACAGTATGAGGAAACATTTCAAAGTTATTTAAAAATAAATGAGACATTTTTGAGAATTTGTATTAGCAGGGACTTCAGTGTCCTTATAAAACCAATCAGGACCTGTTCAAGTCAAGAACTCTTTGTTTTCAGTTAAAATAAAAATTGTTGTCTACAAATACATCTATATGTTTATTTTGAGTTTATATTCTAATTTAAATTCTAGAATGTGTCTCAAGGATAGATTTTTAAAAACCTTGTCCATTTAAGTGTTCAAATACTAAAATAATTAAATTCAATTACATCCCAAATGTTGATTAAGATTTATCAGGTATTTATCAGAACAGGCCTTGTTCTAAGCACTCTGCAGATGACTGACTTAACCCTCCTAACAACTCCCCAACCACACCAGAAAGGCAGAGAAAACAAAGGGAGTTAGGAAGTTGGCTAGAAACACAAGCCATAGTTTAATAAAAATAAGAGTGGTTTTATTGATTACATATAATTTTAGCTATATTAATATATATTATAAACTTTAAGAATTAGAAATAAATGACTTTTTTTTTTTACCAAGAATAATCTAAGTTGTGGCGGCATGTTCAAGGAAAATTATTTAACTCCTACACATTCATTATATACCTTCCTTTCAGATAATCAGGAAGTCATCATCCAAGCTTCACATTACGACATGACAGTTACCCCTATACACAAATTTCATTAATTAGAAATAAGACATGTTTCCTTTTTCAGCAAATACTCCCGTTTTGTCATACAGACATATCTTCCAAATAATCTTACTATACTGTATAAAATTTAACTTTTTATCCACAAGAGTTGCCTCAAATAACTTTCATTTTCAAAAGCTATAAAGGCATGAGACAGCAGCAAAATAGTACTCTGGACTTTGTATCTTAAGATTTTTCATTTTTGCTTTAAGTTTTAGACTCCAATTTATAATTAAAACTAAATCATCCCACATTATTATACTTATGTAGGAAAGTCTTTTTGTGTATACAGTTAACACAAAGATAGAAATTGTCAAATAGTTCGAGCAAGTATTTGGCAGATCACAGAAATAAAACAGTGCTGTTGGAAACAAAAAAAACACTTTAGTGTTTTATAGTTGGAGAGACTGATGGCCATCATTCAAATTTCTCATCTCCTTCTTCCACATCTTTCAAATTGAGCACTTCCAAAGAACCTTTGCCTTTTGTTTCCTTTTTTATTAGCTCGTCAATTTCTCTGAAGCAGCCTGGGTCGATCAGGCATACCTGAAACATTTAACATAGCTGTTTACCACATGAGGATGAATAACAGAATAAACTCAGCTTTAACTTCCTTTAAGACAAAAAATGCTTTCCAGGTATCTCTAATGCTACAGCTCTGTGATGCAATAGATAGGCGACGGGTAGAGCGGCAGATTGGGTTCCCGGCCAACTTCTGCCCTGAAGTATCCATGTAGGCCCCTAAGACAGGCATCAGTCTCCCTGTTTAAAGACTTACCCAGATGCCTCAGCTGTAGAGTAAAGGGGTTAGACTAGAAAACTATACCTTTTCATCCTAAAATTGAGCATTAAATTTTATAGTTCAATGAAATCACCTCCACATATGAAGGAGAAAAAGCAACTCAAAGACCTATTTGGAGACCATGTGTAAAGTTTTGAAGAGATGGTAGAACTTCAAACACTGTCAGATGTGTTGTTACACATCTAGAGTGCATACTCACCATATTTAACAATCCTCTACAGCTCATTTATTTGTTAAAGAAGCTGTAAAGCCCTGAAGACATGAATTTGCATACAGCTGAATTTACACTATGTTTGAAGCTGTGGGGTGAGGACCCAAAGACAAAATGTTTTCGCTGCTTCTTTAAAATGTTCTGTGGTAAACAAGGCTGATCAACTTTTAGTCTTATTTCTATTTGCCCCATAACAGAAAACTCACTGTAAAATATATTCTCATCTAAAATGAACATGACTAACCTAATTTTATCATGAATAATTTCACTAAAAAAAAATCATAAGTGTGCTTAACTATAATTTAGTTCTGTAACTTAGACCTTGACATGTTAACCTAATTCTAGATAAAATATTTCTGGAAATATCTGTTTACAAGTTCTAAATGTTTATTACACATTTATAACTAGAGAATAAACTACTTTGTTAACATGAAGCAAAGAAATAAGAATATTTCACTCTTACAATTTCTAACTGTTGATTGTAGTCTTCACTTTCTATAACCTTGATCAGAGGCTTGAGCTTTTCTTTCAGCTTTTTCCCTTCGTTCACTGGAAGAATGAACCGAAGCCTCATGTGAGCACGTTCTATCTTCATTTTCTCCTTTAACTGCTTTATCACTTCCAAAGCCTATCAAGACAAAATTGAGAATGCTTGTAATTTCTTTACTTCTTCTACTACATATTTCATAAGGTATTAAAAAACAAAGCAGCTTCCATCTACTTGGATTAGGTAATGGTTTCTTAGATATGACATGAAGAATATATAAAAAAACACAGAAAAAATAGAAAAATTGGACTTCATCAAGATTAAAAACTTTTGTGCTTCAAAAAACACTATCAAGAAAGTGAAAAGACAACCCACAGAATGGGAGACAATATTTGCAAATCATAAATTTGAGAAGAGACTAGTATCTACAATACATAAAAAAACCCCTCAACAATGAAAAGATAAATCAATTAAAAAATGGGTAAAGAAACTGAATAGAGGCCGGGTGGTGGCCCACACCTATAATCCTAGCACTCTGGGAGGCCGAGGCAGGCAGATTGCTTGAGGTCAGGAGTTCGAAACCAGCCTGAGCAAGAGTGAGACCCCGTCTCTACTATAAATAGAAAGAAATTAATTGGCCGATATATATATAAAAAATTAGCCGGGCATGGTGGCGCATGCCTGTAGTCCCAGCTACTTGGGAGGCTGAGGCAGAAGGATCGCTCGAGCCCAGGAGTTTGAGGTTGCTGTGAGCTAGGCTGATGCCATGGCACTCACTCTAGCCTGGGCAACAAAGTGAGACTCTATCTCAAAAAAAAAAAAAAAAGAAAACCAATAAGCACATGAAAATATGCTCAAATTGTTAGTTATTAAGGGAACACAAATCAAAACCACAACAAAATACCACCAGGATAGCTATAATCAAAAGGCAGACAAGGCCGGGCGCGGTGGCTCTCGCCTGTAATCCTAGCTCTCTGGGAGGCCGAGGCGGGCGGATTGCTTGAGGTCAGGAGTTCAAAACCAGCCTGAGCAAGAGCGAGACCCCGTCTCTACTATAAATAGAAAGAAATTAATTGGCCGATATATATATAAAAAATTAGCCGGGCATGGTGGCGCATGCCTGTAGTCCCAGCTACTTGGGAGGCTGAGGCAGAAGGATCGCTCGAGCCCAGGAGTTTGAGGTTGCTGTGAGCTAGGCTGACGCCACGGCACTCACTCTAGCCTGGGCAACAAAGCGAGACTCTGTCTCAAAAAAAAAAAAAAAAAAAAAGGCAGACAATAACAAGTATTGCCAAAGATGTGGAGAAACTGAAAGTCTTATACACTGATAGTGGTAATGTAAAATGGTGCAGTTGTTCTGGGAAACTGTTTGGCAGTTCCCAGGTATAGACAAATGAAAATATATGTCTACACCAGGGGTGGGGAACCTGTAGCCTTCTAGGTTCTTATGTGTGGCCTTTTGACTGAATTCAAATTTTGCAGAACAAATCCTTTTATTTTTATTAATACACTTTTGTTCATCCTTTATATTTTTATATTGTTTTTAAAATGAATGTATTTAAAATACCAAAGAATAAAATAAGTTTCAATAACATAACCCTCCCAGATTGACTGGCACAATCAGAACATTAGTAAGACACAAGGGCTAAATTAATGGCTTCTGGTTGTCGAGAGTTTATAGGGTTGAGTATGCTAGTCTGTTATCAGCTTTTAACAATGGTGCACTGTGTTTTTGTTTGATGTGGAATTTGTGAATAACTGCACAGTTCAACAGTATTTTTTAGTTCTGTTGGCTTAACAGCCTATCATATCAAAGACAATAAAGAGAATGCTGAAGGAAGAAAACGGATTTTTTAATTAGGATTGGGAATTGCAATATTATCTGTTTTCTGCTAAAGATAAGATGATTTGCTTGCTTTGTGATACTGTAATATCAACGTTAAAGAAATACAATGCTCATCAGCATTATAACACTCATAAAGACCACAAATATTTTAAATTGGAGGGAGAGGCATGAAAGTTTGTATTGCAGAAACTAAACGATGAAAAGCAAAAGCAAACACAATTCTTTCAAGCAGCAATAAGACCTGGAAATAATGCCACTGAAGCAACTTATAAATAAAGTAGCTTATATACTTGGGGAAAAAGGGAAGTCATTCAGTGATGTAGAAATTGCGAAAGAATGCATTGGCGAAAGTTGTAGGATGCTCAGACCTCTGATAATGTTTCAAAGTACAAACAGCTGCCATTTTCAAGGAGAACCATAACTGACCAGAAGTACGAATTAACCTTCAAATTAACAGAACTTTATGTAATACTTCAAAAGGAAAATATATATTCTTCAATCACTTTAGCTGAATCAACTGATACTACTGACTCTATGCAGGTTTTATATTTCATTTGGGTCATAAAAGAAGATTTCCTTTGCTACAAAGAGTTACTCACTTTGGGCATTCTTGCCAGCAGAACACAGGGAAGATATATCTTCAACTTTCAAGATCAATGTGAAGTTTGGACTGAATTTGGTAAATTGAGCAAGTGTATGTATAGGCAGTACATCTTTCACAACAGGAAAACATGAAGGGTTTATTGCACAGATAAAAAAAAAAGTATTAACAGATCCAGATGCTGTCATTTCTTTTCATTGTGTCTTGCACCAGCAAAATCTCTGTGCTAAAGTTACTATTTTAAGTGACACTTTGCAACAAGTTGTAAGTATTGTTAACTGTATTTGTGCAAATGTAACACAGCATCATCAGTTTTGTAACATGCTAAAGTTGAATGATGAGGTATTCAGTGGATTTGCCTTAACATTCTAAAGTGCATTGGCAATTGCAAGGACAGGTCTTAGCCAAAATCTTATCTCTGCAAGAACAGATAAGTTAAATTTTATGAAGAACAGAATCAGCAGTGTGAATTATTGAGAGAAGATTCCTATAGGAATGCAGTGTTTCTGTGTGATATGTCAAATCAAAATGACTTGAATGTTTATTTGCAAGGTAAAACTGAGTCTATATAGGATATGTGGAGAAATCCAAGCATTTCAAAAAAAGTGATCTTTTTTCAAAACAATTCTTCAAAAGGAAATTTCAGATGAACATTTTTCCCAGTTAGCAAAGGTCACTGATGAGCAGGATGATGTATGTGAATCATATGAAGAATACCCAGCTGTTATAGACCTATTCATTGCAGAATACAATGAAAAGTTCACTGACCTTGAGCATCATGTTATCACAGTCAAGTTAGCTTTCCATCCTCACCTAGCTAATATCACCAAGATACCTAAAGAACTACAGATGGAACTGATTGAGCTCTTAGTAGATGACATTTAAAGTGATCTTGATTTTCTTGATGCTAAGAAAGATCCAATGGAATATGGAAAAATGAAGTAGAATACCAACACCTTTAGCAACCTGCCTGAAAAAGACTTTCTTGCTTTCTAAGCACTTACTGCTATGAATCTATATTCTCCTACCTGACCCAAATAGAGATGCCAGTAAGGTCACAAATGACTGATACCCATCTAGAGGACCAACTGAAACTGTAGACTTCCATGCTACAAGTAAACATTGAAATGCCTTCCAACAAAAAGACACACAAAGTCATTAAAAGGTTAACTTTAACAAATAGTTTTCACTTTTTAAAATTATTAAGTATGTAGTAGTTAGATTTTTATAAAATACTGTACATTTTAAAGTATATCTAATTGAAGTTTCTTGAATGTGGTCTTACTTGATTATAGCTAAGTTAATACGGCCTTCCAATGTGAAGAGGTTCCCCACCCCTGGTCTACACGGAAACTTATAATGAATTTCACAGCATTTTTCATAATAGCTCAACAGTGAAAACAACTCAATGTCTATCAACTGATGAATAAATAAATAACATGTGGTATTTCCATATGATGGGATATAATTCAGCCACAAAAAGAAATGTAGTACTTGATCCATGCTACAAGGATGAGCCCTGAAAAGGGCATACATTGTATGATTCCATTTACATGAAATGTCCAGAATAGAAAAGCCCATAAAGATAGAAAGGCAATTAGTGGTCACCAGGGCCTTGTGAGGGGGAGAGTGGTTATAAACAAAAAGATCCAAAAAGAGATATTAAGATAACTTTTTAAAAACCCAAGTTTTGCCAAAGCGGGAGGATTGCTTGAGCTCAGGAGTTCGAGACCAGCCTGAGCAAGATCGAGAGCCCATCTCTACCATAAATAGAAAGAAATTGGCTGAATAACTAAAAATAGAAAAATTAGCTGGTCACAGTGGTCCGTGCCTATAGTCCCAGCTACTTGCAAGGCTGAGGCAGGAGGATCGCTTGAGCCCAGGAGTTTGAGGTTGCTGTGAGCTAGGTTGATGCCACGGCACTCTAGCCCAGGCAATAGAGTGAGACTCTGTCTCCATAAAAAAAAACAAAACCCAAGTTTTGTCCTTAAAGGTTTGATTTGCATAGGAAGATGAGATGAATTCTATGTATATTTACATTTAGTTAAAAATCACTCACCTGCTGTTTTGTGCTCTTGTTGGGTTTTACAGAATAGTGGATATCCTTCATGGCTCTCTCAATAAGGATAACAGTGTATGGTCTCTTTGTTTCAGGGTTCACACATTTGTCTGCTACAATAGTTGCAATGTCCCTAAACATCTGCTCCAGTTGTGTGTGCCTTTCTTTATCTGATACTTGAACTTCTCCTTTAGTCAAAATCTAAAAGAAACCCAACACATTGAAGAAAGCAATACTTTTCTCTATCACACACTATTTGTTAACTAACCATAAGAATTAATAATGGGGGATAAAATTGAATTTCCTCCTCTCTGGCTACTGGTATGTAGATAATGATTTGAACTTTGCCTAAAGGATGCACTGGATTACGTTGTGCCCCCAAATCTGTCTTATTGAGGACTGGGTGGGGGAAGGAGGAAAGGCAATCTTAAGGCCCAGCATGGTGGCTCACACCTGTAATCTTATCACTCTGGGAAGCTGAGGCAGGAGGATCACTTGAGGTTAGGAGTTCTAGACCAGCCTGAGCAATAGTGAGACCCATCTCTTCTAAAAATAGAAAAAATTAGGTATGGTGGTGCGGGCCTGTAGTCCCAGCTACTCCAGGTGCTGAGGCAGGAAGATTGCTTGAACCTTGGAGTTTGAGGTTGTTGTGAGCTACGCAGACTGACAGGGCACTCTACTCCCAGTGACAGAGCAAGACTCTGTCTCAGGGGAAAAAAAAAGGGCAATCTTAAAAGGCTTCAAAGGGTCTAAAGAATGAAATACTTGAATTCAGATTTTCAGGTATACCATGTTATATAACGACAAAATTAGGTAATTTAGTAGAAAATTTAATTTCTGGAGGCTTTGGTAGAAAACATCCAATAGAACCCACCTGCTTACAGATTTCAGTTTGGTCATCTGTTCCAAATGCACTGATGAGATCTTCCTTCTTTGCAACCTGACCTTTAGAAACATTTACAAACACTGAGTGGGTCTGTAGGACTTCATCAAGGTCTTTTTCCCTTGTGAGGGCAGGAGAGAAAGTCCTATGTAAATACGCTTGAAACTTGGACATTTATTGCCATATAAATACAAGCTGGCAACAACATAAATAGCAAGAAACAACAAATACTCATAAATAACTCTTGGGGTCCAGGGAACATTTTCAAAACTCAGAACCGCATTTGTATTCCCATTTACTCATCGGAGAAAAATGTCACAGGAGTACATATGAAACACGAGGGTGGGGTGGGGCAGGGCAGGTTGCTGCCACGGAATACCGGTCCCTAGATGGCAGCAGTGAAGACACTACGCAGTTTGGTGACACTACGCAGTTTGGTGAGACTAGAGGACTATTGCGATCTGTGACATCAGATGTCTTATAACTATGACAGTATCTGGAAGACTGGGCTCCTAGTCTTTATCATTATGCTGGGAAAACGACTACCACTACGGGGTTTCTTGGTTGTAGCTCATATGACACCTATTAAACAAGACCCAAAGCCAACAACTGAATCCGAACCAACCAAACAAAAAAGTAACCTTGAGCGCCGAGCTAGGGAAGGGTAGCGACTTCTCACGCTCCCAGCAGGAGTTACGTCTTTCATTTCCTATTCTGACAAGACCCGGCTTGGCCTATTCACTCGACTTGGCTAGAGGTAGGCCGCCTCGGAGGCTACCGGCTCCGGCCAGGGCCCACGGGAGAGAGTTACTCACACGCCGCTCCGCCAGCCGACAACCTTGTTTTTGTAGCAGGCGATTTCGAAGCGCTTCCCAGCGCGCTTCATCCGTACCACGGCCACATTGGTTAGGCGGATCTGGTTGGTGGGGGTGAAGATCGACATCCCGGCTGCTCACGGACTTGGCGTCTGGAGAACCTGGGCAGACCCGCGCCGCCCGGCCTGAGGGTCACGAGCGCCTGGCTGTAACAGCCGAGCGGCGCGCGGCGCAGTAACAGCCGCAGGGCGCGCGGCGCCGCGACAGACTCGACCCCGCGCCGGCTACAACGCACCCGGCCCACTTACAACGCACCCGGCCCACTTACTGTGCAGTAGTCAGACTGCGCGGCGCCAGGGCGAGGAAAAGTTATCAACGACGCCTGCGCATTAGGGCTTTTTATGGTATCTTTCCACGCCCGAAAAAGGCGGTGCTCTTCTGGGATGTGGTTTACTCTAGCCAATGAGCTAACGAGCTCTCACAGGCTGCTGGCTGATGTTTAGGCACCGGGTTGAAACACAGCGCTCACGCTGCACAGTTCCGCGGAATTAAAGGGCAAGACCCGCTTAAACCTTTTATTATGGAACATTTTTAACATAAAAAAGAACAAAGTGTAATGAACTCCCATGTGACCATCACCCAGCTTCAACAATTATCAACATTTTGCCATTCCTGTTTTATTCCCCTTCCTCATTTTTTTTGAGTATTTTAAAGCCAAACATGGTTTCAGCCTTAAATGCTTCAGTCCATAACCTTGAACACTTACACCCAACGAGACTAATCATGGTTCCCTAATATCATCTAATAGCTAGTCTATACTCGAATTTCGCCTAAATAGTGCCTTTTTACAGTAGGTTTGTTCCCATTGAGATCCAAACGGGCCCAGATTGCACTTGGCTGATGCCGCTCTTAGTCTCTTTTGCTACCCCTCCTTTCTTTCCCCTTTTTTTCCCTCAAGCCACTCATTTCTTTATGGCGCTTCTCTCTGGACCCGCCCTCTCCCACTTTGAGCAAATCTAAGCGGAGCCGGAAGCGCTTCTGCTTGGTCCCTGGAGCTCTGGGCGGTGCTTCCCTCTGGGCCCGCCCCCTTCCTTTCTGAGCCAATCCGAGCAGCGCAGGGAGCGCTCTGGCTTCCTCTCGCGTAGCTCTGTGGATCCCTCTGGACCCACCCCTTTGCCGTCTGAGCCAATCCAGACGGTCCCGCGAGTGGCATGGCTGCCCCCAGCTTCGCGAGTTTGGAACGTACAACTAATGCTGCGAGTTAGCTCGGGTAGTCTCTGGGTACCCGTGAGGGCCACCAGGATTTCCAGGTCCCACGTTCTAGTCTCCTGTCGGCCCGCAGGCCTCAGGCTCTGAGGAGGCTGGGTAAGGACCCCCGGCAGGCTAGTATCGTGGGGCGGGAGGGGAGGAAACCGTTTTAATGAGACCCTCTCTGGGCGGTGTAACGTCCTCGGGTCGGTTCCTTCAGAAATTGTTGCACTTGTCAGCATGGGACAACCGCCGGTGGGAGCAGAGAGGACTGATTCTCGCTGTTGACCTGGCTTTTGAGGCTAGGGAGGGAATTTAGAAGGAAACTACGTTTCCAATCCCAAATAAAAGGCAGAGAAAACTGCCTCTCCCACCTTACCTACGTGTGTATTGGGACTTCTGGTGCTTTCCAGGGTGGAGCAGCACGTGTAAACCCTAAATTTCAGGCTTCACCTTTTGAAGTTGCTCCGAGGTACAACTTTTGACGCCAGGTCCATGCATATTAACCTTCAAAAAAAAAAAAATGGGGCATGAGGTCAGTTATTTGAGAGCCCTTTACGAGTAGATGTGAGTCTTTGTAAGTACGGTTAGAAAAAAAGGAAGTACTTTTGTTACTATTTTAAGTTTTCTCATTGTAGCAAGCATAACAAAGCAAAATGAACTCATAATTCCACATGGAGTGTTTTCATTTTATGTGTCTCTCACTTGCTTTCAAATATATATATCCAAATGAAGGTACAGTTATATATTTAATTAGCATCATCCTTATAATTTTATCATGTTATCATATAGTGCATTTTTATTACAGTTGATTTTTTAATAGATTTCTTACCCGGGTTGTTGAATGTAAGATTGGTTTAAGGTTTTTGTTCTCAAAACAGGGATGGACATCTTTGTATATGCAGCTTTAGACAAAATTAAATGTATATATCATTTTAGATCCTTCCTTGGAAATGTGGGATCTCTCCTCACCTTTAATATCATTATGGATAAACAGATTTTACATTTATATGGGCTTTGCCTTTGGCATCAGCCTTTGGATTTGTGTCCAGATTGTCATCAAGAAGCAGGTAAGTGGAGGTTTTTTTTTTTTTAATGAGAGTACTGAGGCATCAGATTTTATAGAGAATTTAGAATGCAGGTTTTCTAAGGCTTTCAGAAAGATATAGAAAAACTAAAAGGAACTTTAAGTCATTTTTCTGTTTGGTCTCCAGACATTTGAAAAAAATGTCTAAAAATAAATTTCTTCTTTAGGTTTTTATAGACTAAGTTATTGTGGAATAAATTACTTTTGTTTTTTTGATAGCTATGAATGTCTCATTGTTAAGATGTAGGAAGATATTTGTGACAGAAAATGAACCTTTTTTTAGAGACAGGGTCTCTGTTGCCTAGAACACCTGGCTCAAGCGATCTTCCCACCTAAGCCTCCTGAGTAGCTAGGACTACAGGTGTGCACTACTACTCTCAGCTGATTAAAAAAAAATTTTTTTTTTTTTGAGACAGAGTTTCACTTTGTTGCCTGGGCTAAAGTGTTGTGGTGTCAGCTTAGCTCACAGCAACCTCAAACTCCTGGGCTCAAGCAATCCTTCTGCCTCAGCCTCCCAAGTAGCTGAGACTACAGGCATGTGCTACCATGCCCAGCTGATTTTTTCTATATATATTTTTAGTTTGCCAATTAACTTCTTTCTATTTTTTAATAGAGATGGAGTCTTGCTCTTGCTCAGGTTGGTTTCGAACTCCCGAGCTCAAGCGATCCTCCTGTCTCGGCCTTCCAGAGTGCTAGGATTACAGGCGTGAGCCACTGTGCCTGGCCTTAAAAATTTTTTTGTAGAGATGGGGTCTTGCTATGTTGCCCAGGCTAGTCTCCAACTCTTGGCTTCAAGTGATCCTCTCTCCTTTTCCTCCGAAAGCACGGGGATTACAGGTGTAAGCCACCATGCTCAGGAAAAATTAATCTTGTATATGAAAAACAAATCTGTTTTGCACTTTTAAGAGGTACTAGTCCTCTCTTTACTTTCTATTAATTAAGGGTCAGGAAATAAGTTCTTACTTTTTAAGACCATTCCCTCCAGGGAAAAACTTTATGCAGTCATTTTGTCTTCAAGGACAGGAATTCACAGGAGAAATCTGTTTCAAAAAGAACTCGGGATTTGATGACAAATGATCATAGCTCCCTTGAAAAGAAGGAAATCTTTGTGTCTGGAGTGAAGATTTTCTATGGTTCCCAAACTGGTACAGCAAAGGTAAGAACTTTATATGATGCTGTTTGTTTGGTTTCCTGACAATTTAAGAAAATCCTTGAGAAGCATCCTTAAGCAGTGAATTGAATTGGTCTTCTAATCTCTTTAAATCTTTTCCCTCCCCTTTTCCATCATACATTTTTCCTTTCTGGGATGATAGGTGGGTTTCATCTCCTGTGCCCAGTTGCAGCTGATTGGCCGTGTCTGGTGGTCACTGTCAGAGGGGTCTCTGTTCTGAAGCTTGCTTTTACCTCAGCAGGATGGAGAGAGTTCTGGGTCCATCCTTGGTGCCTGTGGGTGTAGGAGTAGGGGGTAAAGAAAAGAGAATGGCAGCAATAGTGTCCAATATGGGCCCTGATTTTCACAACTTCACACATTAATTTAATGAAACTTGTTTTGATTTCTAATAGTGTTAGAAGTGTTAAAGTAGGTCTGCATGGCAGATATCTTGCTGAACGATGCTTCCCATTCTCTAATTGCATCTAGATGCTACCTGCTTCTGGGTTAAAAAGGTCTCAGCTATTTAGTGCTGTCTAGGAAAAAATTCCAAGTAAGACTAACATGAAAATGAATTATACAAAATATCAAGGCTTGTTATTAACATTTGTGTATACTATTAATACTAAAGAGGGTTCTACTGCCCTCTTGTGGATGATGTTCAGAATAATATTAATACATCTTAGGTTTTTTAATACTCTAGTGTAGCTACTTTGTTTCATATTACAGTTGAAGGTCACATGTTTAGTTCAACCTTAAGCTATGGAGGCAGGAAACCTGAAAAAAAAGGCAAGAAGGCATCTGAGCAGCCTAAGCAAAATCGTTTTTATGTTACCCATAAAAAACTTTATTCAGAGCCTCTTTATGCATGTTTTCAAATTTTTTAAAAGATCAAATGAATACTTGCAGATAGTAACAAATCCAGGTATACAGAAAGTTCATAGTGTATCCTCTCCAGAACACTTCTTTTAACTATTTCTATTTTTAGTTCCTCTGATGATTTAACTGTATAACTTGCTTATGCTGTTTCCAGATTTATCAGATTACACAGTTATTGACTCCTTATATTAGTTAGTTGATACAAACAGTCCTTAAATCTCTATGGCTTAGTAGTGCTGTTCATATCATATTTGATTTTGGGTTAGATAGCTGTCTTCCATCTTTATGCTGTCTGAATTTTTAAATTCTGCTTTCACATTTGATTGGTTCATATTTGGTGTGTATAGAAGACTATTAATAATTTTTTCCTCACAACTTTGAGGCATCTCTCCACTGTTTTCCAGCAGATAGTGTTGCTGATAAGAAGGCTACTTTTCTCATTCCTTTGGAGATGACTTGATTGTTTTTGTTTCTAGACATTTTTAGGATCATTTCTTTGTCCTTGATGTTTAGAAATTTTGTGTGAAGGTGACTACGTTGCATCTTTTTTCAGCCATAGTTCTGGATACTTGGGCTCTTTTGTTTTGAAAATTTGTGTGCATTAGTTCTGCTAATATTTTGTAGATGTATTTTTTCCCTTTCATTTTTTTTCAGTCTTTCTTTCTGGGACTCCTGTTAGTTGGATGTTGGTCCTTTGGGATGATCTTTTATGTCTCAAATCTTTTCTGTTATCTTTCCTTCCTTTCCCTCCTTTCCTTCCTTTCTTCCTTTCCTTCTCTTCTCTTCTCTTCTCTTCTCTTCTCTTCTCTTCTCTTCTCTTCTCTTCTCTTCTCTTCTCTTCTCTTCTTTTCTTTTCTTTTTTCTTTTTTTGAGACAGAGTCTTACTCTGTTGTCCAAGCTAGAGTGTTGTGGCATCAGCCTAGCTCACAGCAACCTGAGCTCAAGCAATCCTCCTGCCTCAGCCTCCCTAGTAGCTGGCACTACAGGCATGCGCCACCATGCCTGGCTAATTTTTTCTATATATTTTTAGCTGTCCATCTGTTATACTTTCTGTAACTTTTTCTTTTTATCCTGGATTCTTAGATTTCCATTCTAAATCTTTTTTTTTTTTTAAGACAGAGTCTCACTTTGTTGCCCGGGCTAGAGTGCTGTGGTGTCAGCCTAGCTCACAGCAACCTCAAACTCCTGTGCTCAACTGATCCTCCTGCCTCAGCCTCCAGAGTAGCTGGGACTACAGGCATGCGTCACTATCCCCGGCTAATTTTTTCTATAAATATTTTTAGTTGGCCAATTAATTTCTTTCTATTATTTTTTTAGTAGAGATGGGGTCTCGTTCTTGCTCAGGCTGGTTTCAAACTCCTGACCTTGAGCGATCCGCCTGCCTCGGCCTCCCAGAGTGCTAGGATTACAGGTGTGAGCCACTGCGCCTGGCCCTAAATCCTTTTTTGAATGTTTTATTTCAGCAGTTATGTTTTCAATTGTGAAAATGCCTTTTTTTAAATTCAGTTTTTATAGTATCTTGTTCATAATTTAAGAATATATCTTCTTGAATTTCTTTTACTCTTCCTGATGTATTTTCTTTTTCAGTTTTTTTGCTGCTGGTATTTCTCTTCCCTGATGTTTGTTCTCATTATAATCTTGGTGATCTGTGGTTTTCTGTTCATCATTAGGACAGAATGATAGGATAGTTGATGTGGCTTTTCTCTTAGTGGGTGAACAGACTTGTTTTTTCTAATTATAAACTTTCACTGAATGCTCTGTGCAGGGAAAATCAGGGCATGCTGGGCCACCTTTTGGCCCTACACCCCCCTCTACCACCCTACTTTTCTACTCTATTTTATGGTAAAACTCCCTCAGTGTATTGTCTGTGCTTGCTGTCTCCAATTTCTCTACTCCTGTTTATCTTGAACCACTCCAGTTAGGCTTGCATGCCCATACATGCTCCGGTGAGTTCCATGTTGCTAATTAATTTTTTTTTTTTTTTTTTTTTACAGGGTCTTGTTGGTTAAGGTTGCATGATGGAATTTGAACATTAAGCATAGCTCACAATGAATTTAGTGAAGGTAGATATCACATATTACTAATTTTTTTTTTGATACAGTGTCTCACTTGCCCAGGCTAGAGTGAGTACCATGGCGACAGCCTAGCTCACGGCAACCTCAAACTCCTGGGCTCAAGCAATCCTACTGCCTCAGGCCTCCAAGTGGCTGGGGACTACAGGCATGTGCCACCATGCCTGGCTAATTTTTTCTATATATATTAGTTGGCCAATTAATTTCTTTCTATTTATAGTAGAGACAGGGTCTCGCTCTTGCTCAGGCTGGTTTTGAACTCCTGAGCACAAGCAATCCGCCTGCCTCGGCCTCCCAGAGTGCTAGGATTACAGGCGTGAGCCACCACACCCGCCCGCTAATTGATTTTTAGTCTTTATCTTACTTGATCTGTTATCTGCATGACCATTCCTTTCTTCTTGAAATACTTTCTTCATTGAACTTTCAGTAGACTGTTTTCTTGTTGTTTTATTTTCCTGCTGTACTGAGCCTAGTCTTCTTACAGTCATTTGCTTGTTCTTCTTTATCTTCTTGACCTGGAGACTTAGTCTTTATCTGTAGCTACTTTACTTCCTAAGGGATCTTATTATCTACGACTTTAAATTCTATCTATTAGTTCATGGGTTAGCAAACTTCTGTAAAGGGCCAGCTTTTTTATTATATGTGTATTTTTTAGGTTTTACAAGCCATGTGGTATTTGTTGCAGCTACTCTGCTGAGAGTGTGGAAACTGTCATAAACAATAAGCAATAAATGGGCATGGCTGTGTTCCAGTAAGCTTTACTTATAAAACAGAGGCTGCATTTGGCCTGTGGGCCTTAGTTTGCTGACCCCTGTATTAGATGATGAATTATAAATTTATGTTTCTAATTTGAACTGTACTTTCAACTCCAGACTCTCATATCCAGTTGCCTGTATCTTAGGTCTTCATATGGATTTCTATTAAGCATCTCAAAATCAATGTGCTAAAAACCGAACTCCCAATTTTCTGCCCAAATCTATTCTACTTATCATCCTTACCATTTTAGTAAATGACAACTTCATCCTTCCAGCTGCTTAGTCCAAAACACCTTTGACTTCTCTCTTTTTCATGTATCCCATGTCCGGTCTGTATTCCAATCACGTCTCACCACCTTCCCTCCTACTGCCCTGGTCCAAGCAAATGTCAACCTAAATAACAGAGGATCTCTAAAAGAAAAATGTTTATTTGGGAAGAGAGTACTGCAATGGGAATACACATACCATAGTAAACTATGTATGTATTCAGGGAGATAAAGGAAGACAAAGGTTTTTCATAGAAAAATGAGGAGGATTATGTAATTGTTTTGAAATAATTATCCTTGGCTACAGAGATCAATAACAAGGGTGATGCCAGTCCGAAGTTGGACAGGCAGTTGCTGGGCAGATGTCCTTGCGGAATTATTCTTTGTGTAAGGTTGTGATGGTGAGAACCTTCTCTTCCTGTTCTTTCCTGGCTCTATCTGTCAAGTTTTTCTTCAAATTAGTGATTCTGTTTTGATTCTGACAACTTTCACAGTTCCAAGATATTTTGTCTGGATTACAGTAGTCATCTCACCACTGGTCTCCTTGCGTTGGTACTGCTCAGCCCTCCCCTGACTCCATTATGCACTCAACTCAGTAACCTCAGTGACTCTGTGAAAACTTAAGGGGAATCATATTACCCATCTGGCCGTGGTGGCTCATGCCTGTAATCCCAGCACTTTTGGTGGCTGAGGTGAAAGGATGGCTTGAGGCCAGGAGTTTGAGACCAGCCTGGGACCCCTTCTGTAGTCCCAGCTACTTGGGAGGCTGAGGGTGATCGTTTGAGCCCAGGAATGTTAGGCTGCAGTGAGCTATCATTGTGTCACTGGACTCTAGCCAGGTGACAGCACTAGACCTTGTCTCAAAATAAACAAACCCCCCAAGAAAATCCTATAGTGACTCCCTCATTCACTTCACAAATGCCAAAATCTTTACAGTGGCATGGAGGTCCAAGACATGTGGCTCTCTGTTATTAACTTTCTTACCTCAACTCCTTGGTCCTCTCTTCTCTAGTCCGGGTAACCTTCTTGCCAAGGGTGCTGCCTGTTTTGGACCTTTGCACTTAAATGTTCCCTCTACCTGAGATAACTTCATGGCTTGTTCTCTTCCTTCAGGTTTGGCTCAAATCTTACTTTATCCTGGAGGCCTACTGCACCACTGCAATGTTTTTCTGACCCCAAATACACATCCTTTTTCCATACCAATTTTTTTCTTTTTGAGACATAGTCTTGCTCTGTTGCCCCAGCTCGTGTGCATTGGCGTGATCATAGCTCACTGTAACCTCAAACTCTTGGGCTCAAGCGAGCCTCCTGGCTCAGCCTCCTGAGTAGCTAGGATTACAAGTGTGCAACAATGATAGAAAAAAGAAAAATTCCACTAAGCAAAACCCCTCCCCATGAACAACCCCTTATGTAACTGCTAAACTGCTGCTGCTCTTACTTCTGCAGACTGCTTGCAGCAACTTCTGCCATGGTAAGATAAGACAGGAAGAAATTCTATAGAAACTCTATGCCAGGAACTGGGGTCATTCGAGACCCTGCCCCACTTAAGATAACCACATTGTAACTGTGCCCTGCACCTTCCCTAAAACGAAATATATAAAAGACTGCTACTCTCTCTGTTTGGGGCTCAAAATTTGGTGGTAAGTCCTCTCTGAGCCTGCTGGTGTAAATAAACCTGGTTCTCTCCACCCTTTTCATGCCATTCTGTTTGTTCTTGGTCAGCTTTGTTGTAACACCACCATACCTGATTAATTTCTTTATTTTTTATAGAGATAGGGTCTCTCTTTTTTACCCAGGCTGGTCTTGAACTCCTGGCCTGAAGAGATCCTCCTGCCTTGGCCTCCCAAGCAGCTGGTATTACAGGCATCAGCCACTGCGCCTGGCCCCAGCGCACCACTTTTGACACTAACTATTGGGAGTTATCATCAAACTTCATGGGGTTAATGGCTTAGTCCACAAGACTGTCCCCACTTCAGACACCAGTCGGAAGTCCCAGCTGTAAATTTGAGGTTTCCCACAGCCTCCTTAGGTTTGATAGAACAACTCATAGAACTCAGGAAATAGCTTGACTTATGCTTACCAGATATTATAAACGATACACTCAGGAACAGCCAAGTGGAAGAGCAAAATAGAGCAAGGTAAGGAGGGGTAGGGATGTACTTCCTCTGGGCTTGCTTCCTTACCCGCACATCAGGGTGTTCACCAACCTGGAAGCCCCTGTCCTTTAGGGATTTTTCTTGGAGGTCTCATCACATAGGCACGTTTGATTAAATCACTGGTCATTGGTGATTGAACTCAATCTCCTGCCCTCTTCTCTCCACAGTGGTTGGGGATAGGGAGTGGGAGGTGCTGAGTTTAACCTCTGGTTGGTTGGTTTTTCTTGTGACCAGCCCTTGTCCTGAGGCTACCTGAGTCCCCTCTCTGTGAGTCATCTCATTAGCATACAAAAGACAGAAAATTTCAAGGGTTTGAGGAGCTTGTGTTGGGGACAAAGAACAAATATTTTTTAGTGTCCTGACCTTTTTCTATGTAAAGTAACAACTCTTCCCACCTCCAATCCTGCACTCTTTCCCTTGATCCAGATTTATTTTTCTCCATAGCACCAATCACCATCTGAAATACTTTTTCCCATTTTTGTGTTTTTTCTCCTTCCATAAGCTCCTTGAGGACAGGAGCCCTGTCTTGTTCGGTGTTGGTAGTCTCCCCTTATCTGCAGGGGATATGTTCTAAGACCCCCAGTGGATGCCTGAAACCAGGGATAATATTGATACCTATACATGCTATGTTTTTCGATCTGGTAACTGAGATGGCTTCTAAGAGACTAATGGGCTGGTGGTGTCTACTGCATGGAGATGCTGGACAAAGGGCTGATTCACATCATGGGCAGGCACCAGAGTGGGCCAGTGACAGATTTCATCATGCTACTCAGAATGGTGTGCATTTTAAAACTCTTGAATTGTTTATTTCTGGAATTTTCCATTTAATATTTTGAATGGTGGGTTCGTGGGTATTTGCAACCTTGGAAAGCAAAACTTCGAGTAAGCAGGGACTACAGTATTGCCCCAAACTGAGACTGGCATGGTAGATGCCCTATAAATGAATTAGCCTCAGCTAATAACCCTTGTAGGTAGGGCGTCAAGTGTTAAGACTACCAAGCAAAAAAGAGGAGGGTGTTGTCTCAGGTACCAACATCTGGCTAGAAGTTTTAGCTTCCCCCAGACATTTGGTTCATTTGTTTGGAGAAGAGCTGGCAGGTATTTTGCTTAGGGGTAAAAGGTAAGTGTTGCTTAGGCTCTGTGACCTTCTGTGTGCATTTGTCCTATATGCAAATTCTCAGCTAATTGGCTCTTTTCTACCATGCAGGACTCCCTTCTAGTGGCTGACTCAGCCCAGAGCCTTTCTGGGGTTCTGTCAGGCGTATGAACTATTCCCTAAAGCTTTCTCTTATTTGTCAACATGTTCTTGTTTATATTTTCCATTCTCTTCATTTTTCATTATTTTTTTATATAGTTGCATATGTTTATTCTAGTGTGGCAAAGCAGCTAGAATGTCAAAAAGCCAATTTTGTCCTATATTCTTACAGAATGAGAACAACACAATTGAATAATCATCTCTACAATGGTGCTTGAGAAAATGGTAGACAAGAGAATAGTGTTTGTGTTTATGATGATGAATATCAGTCACTGAAAAAATTTTTCAGGAGGCATGCCATATTCTCTTGCCTACAGGGGTAAATGAGGTCTGTATTTTGCTTATTTGGCTTATTGAAGACTTTGATTTTTTTTTTTTTTACTATTAGGGATTTGCAACAATTCTTGCTGAAGCAGTTACCTCCTTAGATCTGCCTGTGGCAATTATTGATCTGAAAGAATATGATCCAGATGATCATCTGGTAGAAGAGGTTGGTAATTATCTTATTTTTTCTTCAGTCTCAGTTCTCATATTTATTTATTTTATCTTTTTTTAAACTTTTTTTTCCTGAGACAGGGCCTCACTCTGTTGCCTGGGCTAGTCGTGTCATCGTAGCTCATTGCAACCTCAAACTCCTGGGCTGAAGCAGATCCTCCTGCCTTGACTTCCGAGTAGCTGGAACTACAGGCTCATGCCATCACACCCCACTTAACTCTCATATTTATTTGACCTCCTGTCTTCTGGGCTACATAGAATCCTCAGAATAAATTTAATTTTCATGCTAAGGGATTTCAGTTGGTTGAGTTTTCAGCGTGAGTCAGAAGTATTGAATGTGTAGTGTGTAGTGTAGTACACTGATTCTGATGTGGCATGGGCTGTCCTTCTGGTATGTTAGATTCTCCTGGGTCGGGTGGGGGTGGGTAAACTAGTGTGGTTTGAAGTTCCCTCCTTTCACCTACTTTGAATCCCACAACCAGGGGAGGATTGTTATTGATGGCGGAGTGCTATGCATGTGGACCATGAGTAATCTGACCAAAAGGTTGGGAGTGGAAAGCATATGGGTTTGGAGTTGTAGAAATCTCTTGTTACCTGTTCAGCCTCGATGCATCACTTAATATGTCTGAGGGTTTAATTTCCTCACCTGACAAATGCCCCTTCCCACCTCCAGTCATGCCCAGGTCCCTAAACCAGCAGTATCAGCATCTCCTGCAAACTTGTTAGAAATGAAGATTCCTGCTGTGTACAGTGGCTCGTGGCTGTAATCCCAGCAACTTGAGAGGTTAAGGCAAGAAGATTGCTTGGGCCCAGCAGCTGGAGACCAGGCTGGGCAACAGAGTGAGACCTTATCTCTTAAAAAAAGAAAAAAAAAATTAGCTGGATGTGGTGGCGCATGCCTGTAGTCCCAGCTACTCGGGAGGCTGAGGCAGGAAGAGGCTTGAACCCAGAAATTCAAGCTTCAATGAGCCGTGATTGTGCCACTATACTCTAGCCTGGGCAATACAGTGAGACCCCCTTCTCTTAAAAAAAAATAAAGAGTTTTCAGGTCTTAGACTAGCCCCACTGAATCAAACTCTAGTTATGAGGCTTTGTTTTAACCTTGCTGTAGGTGAGTCTGATGCAGCTAAAATTGGGAAAACAATTAGAGCAGGGGCAGGAGTTGACAAATTTTTACTGAAGGGCCAAGTTGTAAGTATCTCCACCTTTCTGGGCCATGCAGCTACTTGGTTCTACCATGAGGCACAAAACATCCATAAACAACATGTAAATGAACAGGTGTGGTTGCTTTCCAGTAAAACTTTATTTAAAACAAACAGGCAGCAGGCCAGATTTGGGCTGTAGTTTTCCAGCTCCTTTTTAGTGGAAAAATTTCTAGCTGTAACTGTAGAATTCTTGGTCCCCTACAAAAACATACCGGAGTGCAGATGAGCTTGAATCTACTGTAAGTTATTTGTGAAAAATTATTAGCAAACTTTGATAATTACAAGTAAGAGATTACTTGTAACTTACTCATGACTTGGAACTGTTAGGATACTCAAGCAGATGAAGTACTAGGCTAGCAGGACTGAAGATGTTCAGGTTGAGAATCCCTAATCCAAAAATTCGAACTCTGAAATGCTGCAAAATCTGAAACATCAGACATGATGCTACAAGTGGAAAATTCCACACCTCACCTGATGTGATGGGTCACAGTCAAAACGCAGTCAGAACGTTGTTTCATGCATAAAATTATAAAAGTATTGTTTATAATTTATAAAATTGTCTTCAGGCTATATGTATAAGGTATATATGAAACATAAATGAATTCTGTGTTTAGACTTTGGTCCCATCCCCAAGATATCTCATTACATATATGCAAATGTTTCAGAATTTGAAAAAGTCTGAGGTTCGGAGCAATGTCCCAAACATTTTGGGTAAGGGATACTCGGCCTGTATTTTGTTTCCCTTTGTAGATGATGGTGCCAAGTGTAAAGTTAGATTATGTTTAAAAATTTTATTGCTGGCCGGGCGCGGTGGCTCACGCCTGTAATCCTAGCTCTCTGGGAGGCCGAGGCGGGCGGATTGCTCGAGGTCAGGAGTTCGAAACCAGCCTGAGCAAGAGCGAGACCCCGTCTCTACTATAAATAGAAAGAAATTAATTGGCCAACTAATATATATAAAAAAAAAATTAGCCGGGCATGGTGGCGAATGCCTGTAGTCCCAGCTACTTGGGAGGCTGAGGCAGGAGGATTGCTTGAGCCAGGAGTTTGAGGTTGCTGTGAGCTAGGCTGACGCCACGGCACTCACTCTAGCCTGGGCAACAAAGCGAGACTCTGTCTCAAAAAAAAAAAAAAATTAAAAAAAAAAAAATTTTATTGCTTTAATTTTTCAGGTACATTTTTAGAGATCTTTCTGTATTTTTTTCTTGACTGATTTGGATTGTGTTTCCAATATGACAAATCAGAGATCATAGGAATTTATAGTACAGAAATTGCAATGGAATAAATGGTGAGGGCTGCCAGAAGGTATACTGGCAGGAACAAGGGACTGGGTTTTCTCCCCTATGCAAGGTGTCCTTGCTGTGTTTTCTTTTACTTTTGAAAAGAATAGTTCACAGAAGCTCCTGTTGTCCTTAGAGATCAATATGACATAAATACCTGCATTTCAAGAAAGAATTTGCTTCATTGAGATCATTTATATTTTAAATATTCTTCTGAAACCATTACTTTCTTGGTTAGGTTACTAGTAAAAATGTCTGCGTCTTCCTGGTTGCTACATATACTGATGGCCGGCCAACTGAGAGTGCTGAGTGGTTCTGCAAATGGTTAGAGGAAGCATCCAGTGATTTTCGATTTGGCAAAACTTATCTGAAGGGCATGAGATATGCAGTGTTTGGCTTGGGCAACTCTGCCTATGCAAGCTACTTCAACAAGGTGGGTATATGTTGAATTATATGGATACATTCTTCTTTATTTAAACACATATAAGAAGAATTGTGTTATTCTTTATAGCTGGAAATTGCTACACATATGCATTCAAACTTGGCATATAGTAGGTTCTCAGTAAACTTTTGTTGAATAAAATGAATGAATGTGCCTCATACTGTGTAGTGTCTTAGCAGCCTGGACTCACAGTCCCTAAGGAGGACCTCATAGATAGAAGATCACTGAGTCTTTGGACTTTCCTAACTGTTCTGTTGTTGAATGTTTATTGCTTGATCTCTTAATACAGGTGAACTAATTTTCTTTAAATCATTAATTTTTTTTTTTTTTTTGAGACAGAGTCTTAGTCTGTTGTCTGGGCTAGAGTGCTGTGGCTTCACCTAGCTAACAGCAACCTCAAACTCCTGGGCTCAAGCAATCCTTCTGCCTCAGCCTCCTGAGTAGCTGGGACTATAGACATGTGCCATCATGCCCAGCTAATTTTTTTTTCTATATATATTTTTAGTTGGCCAATTGATTTCTTTCTATTTTTATAGTAGAGACAGGGTCTCACTCTTGCTCAGGCTGGTTTTGAACTCCTGACCTTGAGCAATCCACCTGCCTTGGCCTTTCAGAGTGCTAGGATTACAGGCGTGAACCACCACGCCTGGCCTTAAATTATTAATTTTTAAAGGAAAACAGAAGGAAAAACACTCACAGTCTTTTATGTAATAAAACATTAAATTTTTTGACTTGTTTCCCTGGGCTCCTTTCTTTTAAATGAAATTAATTTGGCTCCTTTCCTTTTGCATCCTGTTCTCAAAACTTTAAAAAATAAAACTACAGAGGCTCCCAGTTTCTCAGTGGTTTGCATGTGTACCTCTCCCTAGAGATAGGCCTCGCCTGGCTCACCTGTCTGTGGTAGAGGGTGAGTAATGGATGTGAGAAGCTTTCTTTAAACTTATTGTTTTGTTTTTTGAGGCAGAGTCTTTTGCTCTTTAGCCCCTGGCTAGAGTGCAGTGGTGTCATCATAGCTCACTGCAACCTTGAGGTCCTGGGTTAAAGTGATCTGCCTGCCTCAGCCTCCCGAGTATCTGGGACTACAGGCAAGTGCCACCACACCTGGATAATTTTTCTATTTTTAGTAGAGACGGGGTCTTGCTCTTGCTCAGGCTGGTCTCAAACTCCTGTGCTCAAACGATCCTCTTGCCTCAGCCTCCCAGAGTGCTAGGATTACAGGCATGAGCCACCATACCCAGCCTCTTTAAACTTATTTTTATTCATTTGTTATGTCACAATATAAATTTCCCCCCATATTTTCAAAGAAATTCAACTAAGAATGGGAAAATTGAAATATCTAAATATTTTGTTTAATGCCTTGACACTCAGGAAGCTTGTTAAGTTTTTAAACTCTTAACTGTGTTTCTTGATAACCCCTGTGCCTCAGCTTAATTGCTGAATGAAATAAATTCTTGAGTTTATGTAATCATGAGTCTTGCCAAATTGATTACATTTGCGCTTTATTACTGAGTGGGGTTTGGCCCCGTAGGCTTTGTTAGATTTTTGGAACTAATTTGTTTTGTTAATGCATATTTGTTCTGACCCTGATTTACAGTAGTAGTTTTCAAATTCTTTCTTAGTTATTAAGTCTTTGCTTAATAAAAGGGTTTCTTTGTTCCTTTGTTAAAAAAACTTAGGTCAAAAATCAGAATATATAAAATGTGACCCTGCTGTGTTGAAGCTGGAGCTTGAGGGCTTTTGAAGTCCTTTTTGCTGAGCAATTCTCTCTTCAACAGCAGCCTGTGACCAGAGGCCCCAGAAGATCTTTGGGCTTTTGCCGAGCAGTCTATAAACCTCCAATTTAAAGGATTGTGTTTTTAGCTCATGTGTCTCTTTTTCTTGCAGGTTGGCAAAAATATCGATAAGTGGCTCTGGATGCTCGGAGCTCATCGTGTGATGACTCGAGGGGAGGGCGACTGTGATGTGGTCAGGAGCAAACATGGCAGCATTGAAGCTGATTTCAGAGCATGGAAGACCAAGTTCATCTACCGGCTGCAGGCCCTCTGTAAAGGAGAGAAAAAAAAATCCTGTGGTGGCAACTGCAAAAAAGGCAAATGCGAATCTAATCAGCATGGCTCAGAGGAAACAGAGCCAGGGTCCCATACTCCGGATGACTTGCATCCGAGAGACACGGAGGTATGTGGCCTGTGTGTTCATTTCTCACTGCTTTCCTCCTCTGTTTGGAGATACTGAACTTTACCTCTGTCCCAAGAAACCATCTCATTGGCTTTGGTTAGTAGGAAGATCTGAAAGTCATGTAGTGGTGTTTCAGAGAATGTAGCCTTAGGAGTTAAACCATATTGTGCTTAGACACTTTCCTAGATCCCTTCTTTAATCTTTACATTGTTAGAGTCAGGTAGATTTTTACTGCATTTTCAGGTTAAGAAACAGAGGCTCACAGAAGTTAAATATGTCTCAGACTGAGCTCATAACATCTTATTATCCCCAGAACACATGTTCCTCCTGACCTAAGTGACTCCATTAGTCACTCAGACTGAAGGCTGCAAGTCATCCCAGATTCATTCTTTCTATTTTCACATTCTAAGCATTTCTATTTCTTCCTTTAAATACCCTGCTTTCTTTGAAGCTCACATCTTCAGGCCAGATCACTGCTGCCATCTTCACAGCTGTTATCTTTTGGCCACCTGGTCACTTGGGTAATTTAGGAACAACTTGAAATTCTCACTTATTGTTTTTCTAATCATCCTTGTTCCTATCATTATTCCTTGTGGCAAAGACATTCATGTAGGTGATCTATCCAACAATCTGGCCTGCCAGTTTTCTGGCCTTCATACCTCCAGCAACTATTTTTATTTTTTAATTTTGAGACAGAGTCTCACTCTGTTGCCTGGGCTAGAGTGCCATGGCATCCGCCTAGCTCACAGCAACCTCAAACTCCTGGGCTCAAGCGATCCTCCTGCCTCAGCCTCCCGAGTAGCTGGGACTACAGACATGTGCCACCATGCCCGGCTAATTTTTTCTCTATGTATTTTAGTTGTCCAGCTAATTTCTTTCTATTTTTAATAGAGGTGGAGTCTCACTCTTGCTCAAGCTGCTCTCAAACTCCTGACCTCGAGTGATTCTCTGGCCTCAGACTCCCAGAGTGCTAGGATTACAGGCGTCAGCCACCATGCCCGGCCATCCAGCAACTATTTACTTCACTGACCTTGGTCTCTCTCTCGCACACTCACGTCTGAAATTCACATTCCTATGACCCATACTCTGATCTCACTCTGAAGCCCCTCCTTTAAAATTCTTTTGATCCCATTTGATCCTATACCTTTTTCATTGGGCAGGGGAAACTGCTAACTTCACTTCCCTCCTTAAACCCAGTTTAGATTTTTATGCACACTCTTTTATAAACAACTTCAATTGCCTTGCCTCTTATTTGCTCTTCCAACCTGACTGGCCAACTCCAAGCCAGTTTGAAACCTACTATCTGCCTTCCTCGCAGACCACAGGCTCAGGTGTGCACTGCACTCAGTACTGCCCACCAATCTCACAGTATTCCCTTGTCAATTCCCCTTTTCACTATCCAAGATGACGGCTTCTTACCCTCTTTATCTACACTCCTTCCTTCAGCTCTCATCTGAAGCCATAAGAGGGGAAATTCACTCATAGTCTCCCCAGCTCATCTACAAATTTCCGCCATCTTTGATGGTTCAGAACAAGTATCTGGTACCTGTCAAAGACTACTGTCCATCCATGCTGTGAAATCAAGGGCTGGCTTCCTTCATTTCTCTCTTCTCTCTCTCCTGCATATTAATCTCTCCCTCACTGCTAGATTATTCCCATAAATATATAAATTCTTTGGAATCACCTGTGCATAAACAAACATAAAAACAGGCCGGGCGCTGTGGCTCACGCCTGTAATCCTAGCTCTTGGGAGGCCGAGGCGGGCGGATTGCTCAAGGTCAGGAGTTCAAAACCAGCCTGAGCAAGAGCGAGACCCCGTCTCTACTATAAATAGAAAGAAATTAATTGGCCAACTAATACATATATAGAAAAAAAAAATTAGCCGGGCATGGTGGCGCATGCCTGTAGTCCCAGCTACTTGGGAGGCTGAGGCAGGAGGATCGCTTGAGCCCAGGAGTTTGAGGTTGCTGTGAGCTAGGCTGACGCCACGGCACTTACTCTAGCCTGGACAACAAAGTGAGACTCTGTCTCAAAAAAAAAAAAAAAAAAACAGATAAATCTTATCTTTATTTCACATCTTTTCAGCTGTTTATCCATTTTTCTGTTCTTTTTCCCACCTCTTTTTGTTTACTGTAGAAAAAACAAACTCAGTTTCTTGCCCTATACTCTCCGACACACTTCTAACACCAGATGTGTGGGGATTTCTTCCCACCAGCGAGCAAGCAGTCAGTTCTGCAGCAGACACAATCTGGGTGTCTTCTAATTCAGTTTAATTGTGACCCTACCTAGAATCAGATCCTATAGGTTGAGGGCTCAGTCCTCAATTCTGTGCCTTTCCCCCAACTTCAGATGCCATTTGCAAGCCCCAGGTTGTGTTACGTGTGCTTCTGACTGACTGGCTATAGTTTGAGGTTCTCTCAACCCCTTCTTCAGGTTTAATTAATTTGCTAGAGCAGCTCATAGAATTTGGGGAAACACTACTTAGGTTTACCAGTTTATTATAAAGGATATTACAAAGGCTACCAATAGACACCAGACAAGAAGATGAATAGGGCAACGTATAGGGGAAGGGATGTAGAGTTTCTGTGTTCTCTCTGGGCACATCACCTTCTAGGAACCTCCATGTGTTTGGTTATCTGGAAGTTCCCTGAATCCAGTCTTTTAGGTTTTTATGGAAGCTTCATTAAATAAGCATTATTGATTAATTATCAGCCATTGGTGATCAACTCATTCTTCAGCCCTTCTCACCTCCTTGGAAGCTGGAAGGTGGGGCTAAAAGTCCCAGTACTCTAAGCATGCTTGGTCTTTTCAGTGACCAGTCCCCATCCTGAAGCTGGTTGTGTCTTTTTGTTGTGGAGTGGTAAGAGTTCTTTATTATACCCTGGGTAGTAACCCTTATCAGATAGATCATTTACAAATATTTTTACCCATTCTGTAGGTTTGCTTTTTGCTTTCTTGATTATGTCCTTTGATGTATAATACAAAAGTTTTTAATTTCTATGAAATCCAGTTTATCTTTTTATTTTATTGCTCATGCTTTTGGGGTTATATATATGAATCCATTGCCAAATCCAAGGTAAGGGAGATTTACCTCTATTTTTCTTCAAAGAGTTTTATAGTTTTAGCTCTTGTATTTAGGTTATTGATCCATTTCAAGTTGATATTTTTTCCTTTTAAAACAAATTTTAATAAATTTAGGGGGTATGAGTTGAATTCCATTATATGTGTATATATCATAGTGGTGAAATCTGGGCTTTTGGTGTACCCATCACCTGAATAGCATACATTATACCCCATAGGTAATTCAACACTCCCACCCTACCCATTTTGAGTCTCCAGTGTCTATTATGCTACTTTGTGTGTCCTTGCTTACCCATAGTGAAAGCCATAGTATTCTTTTTTTTTTTTTTTTTTTTAAAAAAATTTTTCCCTTTTTTTTTTTTTTTTTTTTTCTTTGAGAAAGACTAAGATCTGAATATC